ATTACATGAAAACCATTTTACCAAAACCTACTTAAAATTACTCAAAATTACGTAAAATTACGGTAATTTTACAACCCTAAAGGCAAGTATGTAAGTTAGCCTTACAACCCTAATTGGAACTCTATACCAATTATAGTACGTCAACATTCGCTAAAATTTTACTATGAAAATCTCACGCATTTGTGAATAAATCAAATAAAATTCAATTTCGGTTAGATCGTTTCTAAACCCGATTTATTATGAAATATCATTGTTAAATCCGGATCTAACGGATCTAATGATTAAATATAGATATAAACGATTAAATTTGTTTGCATAATTTTGTGAAATTTACAAATCAAAAAAAAAAAAAAACGACTCCGATATCTGGGTATAAAATTGTCCCATCGGAGTAGTTTTAAGAAATCCAGCAAATGCAAATGATTTTTTTTTTTTGATGATCTGCAGATTTCACAAATGCAATTATTAATACATTAATTGCCCCGCCATCTGCATGATGCCACATTAGTAATTATAGCTAACAAATTTGTTATGATTAGCAGATAAATTCGAATACGTATTATATATATACGTATACTGTATATTGTACGTAGTTCTGGGCACTTTGTTCCCACTAGACCTATAAACTGGAACATTGGACATATAGATCCAATTCCAATACTGACTATACGTACGATGCAGGAAATCAAAACTTTAAATAGGTTAAGATCAACTAGCATATTAGAGGTAAGCTAAATTCAAAAGCTGCGTATTTTAGCTTTCAGCAGTATGCATATTTGCTATTTAAGTACATATTATCCTTGGCATATTATTTTTATGCAAACACGCAAAGAGATGGAGAATTCTAGACCCTTTGCTTTATTGAGATCGCTAACTTAAGAAATCTATTTCAATGTGCTACCAAATTATGCATTTCTATATATAGTGAGATGAGTTTTTAATTTCCTGCACCGTACGTACGTACGGTGCATATATGAAACCTCAAACCCAAAATTCTTTGTAGATATGATACAACATATCAACATCTGCCGTCAAAGAAAATATGTTAAAACCTTTTCAATGAAGGATTTCTTAACCATATGAGGCGATATCCTATGAAATTCTATGCCGAATTCTTCAATCATATCAGATATTAGTCTTGACAAACCGAGTTTATCATTATTGGTATTGCATTGCATTGCAGGAACTTGCATAGTTCTTTCCAATAAATGATTTCATTGAAGATATCGGGATTTATTTTCAATATAGTGTTGGTACGTACGTACGTACTGTAGTGCCAAGGCATGCAATCCTAAAAATAGATTATTATAAATTTCATAATATATTTTTTTAAAATTGTATGTTTTCATTTGGCGGCACTCATTTCCATGTGAATAAATTTGAATTCCTGCATATTACATACATTCTCATTAAAAATGTAAAAACAGCCCTATACAGTATAGAGATAATAGTTAGCGTTAAATCTGAACTTAATAAGGTTCTCGCCCTTTGAAAACAAATATTTCCTAAATAATCATTCTCAATAAAAATATGCATAATAATGCATGCACTTTATTGAGAGTATAGTTGCCGTCCAAACACAAACTAGCTTGGGACTTTGGGATTTCTAGGGTGTTAATCATTATTTGGGACTAGTTAAAACCATGAAACTTGACACAAATTTACTGTGTGAATTTGATAAAATTTCAGTTTGGCCAATGTTTGCAACTATTTGGGCGGAACTATAATTTTGAGCTATAATTGTCATCAATATCTATAAATAGTGATTGTGATACCTTACATTAAAACAGCCCATCTACAATACAAGTAAATCAGGTTTAAAAAAAAAAGGTCAACAAATAATATTATCAGATTCTAAGGAAGCATTGTATGTAGGCTCCGATGGTAAACTAGGGTAGGCAATGCATGGAATCGGGATTAACTCAAGATTCCAACAAGAGTTAGAAATTTATGATATACGGGCATTTAAAAGAAATAAATCATGAGAGATTCTCTTTATTAACGTTAAGAGAAGAGTTCAAAGGGCATGTAACTTCTACTCTAACATATACATGCGCGGGTATCATTTACGACATCGTATGATCATCCTCACATGAGACCATCAACCTGAATATTGATTCTATCGGGCTAATGACTAATTTTAAAGATTAATACATAACATATATTTGCATCTACATCGAAAAACATATATATTCCTATTAACACTATTAACACTACCAAACAAAAGTCCTAGGCCAATTTACACCAATGTTACGAATTGATTTAAGTTTTTTTTTTTTATTGGAATATAATGCCCAGGGTGCCCAGCGGTGTAATTTCAAATTTTGGCCTAAACTAAGCTTAATTCGGGCTGTATTATGTTTTTGAATTTATCATTGCCTATTTTAAGTATTTATCAAGGCATCAGGTTTCCAGGTGACGATAACAATATACTTACCATGACGATTATTATAATTCTGGTCAATTTGCAGATCGTTTAGCCACCAGAACATTCTACTCCAAATCTGCAAATTTGTCTAGAATTATAAGTAATCAAGAATAAATTATATAAAACAATATGTAGAAAAAAAGAATATTATTAATAAATACATTAAAGCCAAATTAAAAAGTTCTGCAATATAACTTGTTTTTAGTTGAATACTAGATTTGTGCTTCTACGTGACTTCATCTTTCACGAAGCTCACCTATGTCAGATAGAGTTAGTCAAGGTTCCGATGTTTTGATGTTTTGCCAAGTTTCGATCTTCATCCTTTTTTTGGGCTTAGGTTTCGTCTTTCACCATTTTGGAAATAGGTTTCGCTTAACACCACTATGAGGCATTCCATATAATGACCACTGACAATGGCGAAACCTTTTGTCGAACAATTTTTGAATGACAATGATGAAACTATGATTATTCTTTCAAAATAAAAATAAATTAGCTCATGCAAAGTTAATAATTTTGTTTTGATCATTTTTTTAAAACAATATCAGTGTGTAGGAGAACTTATCCGCGCATGTGATAATTGACCAATGACTTAATTATGATCAATATAATGCAACACGATCAGGAATAATGTAAAAAAAAATTGTCCGGTTTTAAAATCGTTTACAACAAAAAATTTACATAACGAAGCGACTTTTACGCTCTAACAAAAATTTTTTCTTACGAAATTTTACTGTATAGTGGTAATTCATTCATTGAAATCTTAAAGCTTGTCGCAAATTTAATAAACAATAAGAAATGCATTGATTATCACGTGTACAGACTCCCCCTACTTGTGGGCCTTTCTTTTTTTACCTTTTTGTTTTCTATAACACATACTAACATTACTTGATGAAGATGCTAATCGCGTGAGGCTTCAAATGAGTATGACAATGAAAATGTCGAAATTAAAAAACAAATATTTCCGGCTTCAGATTCTATTTTGGTCAGTTCGCAAAATTTGTCGACTTCAATCGACACATATTATCTTTCAATTTAGGTCAATTTTAATTTAATTAGCTATTAAACATATCAAACCAATTATTTAGTAATTAATAAATTCAGTAAGGCCGCTCAAGGTTAATACCGTGTAGGCGCGTAATAACGCGCATCGATAAATTGAATCATTATCCAAATTTTGAAGAAAAAAGTTACAACTACAAAAATTTTCCCGAAACTATGTATGTGTGCAGTGTTGAAAATACGTTCATTCACTTTCTTTTCGGAATTTCTCTCGATTCTAATTTTATTTCCATCTGGCAATATGCTACTGTTATACTTATATCATATTTACATAGAGAACTTATTTTTCGAGTATTATGATCTCAATTTTTTTTCATAAAGAACATTCACACGATATCAAATGTTCTCAAATCTAAAGGTATGAGAACATGAGAAATAAGATTTCCAACACTAATGTGGGCGCCTTATTTAGGGACGCGTATGGGCGTTATTTTGAGTCAAATTTGCGATTTTTAAAAAAATGGAATTTTCGAAACAACGCCCATGTGGGTTAGTACGCGCCTACACAGCAATGGTCATTTTCCCTCATTAAGGTGTTACAAATGAAAAGCAACTACCGTACAAGTGCGAAATAACGCCCACCTACGCGTTATGTCGAGTACGCGCATGTTGAATTCTCACCCCTAATCATAAAAAATAGTATTTATTTAGAATAAGTGCTCAGGAACTGGGTTTGGTATTAAGTAAAGGTATTTTTGGCATTAACAAAAGCTGTTCTTTAGATCTAACGGTAGTGAATCATCAAACGGTCTAGTAGTAGTTCACCCGCAATGGCTCTATAAAGTTTTGCTACGTTTATTTGTCTTTATTTACGCGATTTTGCGAAAATTTGATGACAATTTACTACCATTAGAATCGTCGAGCAACTTATATAAATGCCAAAAATAGGTTTACTTATACCAAACCCTGTTCCGAATCACTGATTTTATTTTTACATTTCTTATATGGTTGCCGTTAATTGTGACGCCCATGGGCGCTAAATTTGAAGTTACATATACTATTTTAGAGATATCTGATTTCTAATTAACGCCCCTGAGCATTATATAGCGCCTTCACGGTATGGGTTATTCTGTCCCTTCCACTTTCGTGCTATACGTACTAAAAGTGCAGAATTTGAAAGTATCGATCGGCTGGCCTAAAACCTGATGGTATTGTCTACCGCAAATGGTGAGGCGAAAAAAAACCAGACAATTTAATCTGGAAAAAAACCATAGTTCCCTTTGATTAACATGCCAGTCAAGACTAAAACGAGTTTTATGTACACTAATACAAAAAACAAAATTCTGTGATTGTTGTCCCGACAGGCCACTTTTATGTACACAAATACAATAAATTTCTTTGTGACTGTTGTCCGACAGGCCACTTCCATATACGTAAATAATAAAAAAACTTCCTCAAACCCAAAATTGTGACTGTCGTTCGACAGGCAATAAACTGTCTAAAAACAATAGCTGTCGAAATGACAGGTCGTCAAATAAAAGCCCTAAGCCACTGCAAAATCGAGTACGAAGGTAGGGCGGGACGAAAAAACCAAACAAAGTCGGGTTAGAAAAAAAAAATGACAGAAGCTACCTTTTCTGGGGAAAACCCCGTTCCCCTTAAATACTACTTACGATTACGAATCTCAAATACTACGTATTACGTCATAAAATCACATACGATTCATACAATAAATTACGACAATACATCAAACGAAATCATAGAATAAAGGTGTTCTCAAGCACCTCAATCAAGTGATCGGAAGCAAATTTTTAATTATCGGAAATTAAATAAATGAATTAAATGAGTTACCATTCCGATGACAAAATCAGGGAGACACAAACCACCTTTTTTCTTCAAAAATTTACCATTGATATAGGTTGCTCAAAAACTACTTTTACCTTTTTTGCATATCGAACATAATAAACAATGAATTCTCAACAAATTTCTCAACGTTCTAAAAAAATTGCCACTTTATTTTTAATGCTCGAAGCTTTTAAAACAAATAATCGATGCCTTGATATGAACATAACAAATACAACACACCTTTTAACGTTTAATCAAACTGTAATGAATACTACTATTCAATTTTTCACTCATCTAAACTTAAGAACTTCTCAGCAAAGAAGGCCCTAAACTACAGGATTTTGGGTAGATGTTTTTCCATATTTAACGGATAATGAAGGTTATAACTCTTTTTGAAAGCATTTTTGTATTACCTGTGCTACCTTTAGTGCAATTGTTTCATGATTAGAAAGCCACCCTGCCTTTAGTGCAACTGCACCTAATGCGACTCCTGTGTGGAAACAAATTGCCATTGTATTGTGGTGTTTGGCAAATGGAACAGGAATAAGAATATTAGAACAAACTTTAGGGGTCAGTCAAGGATCAGTTAGTAATTTTACAGATCGATTTTTAGAGGCATTATTAGACTTGGAATCTGATAGAATAGCATGGCCATGAGGAGCAAGATTAGCAGCTGTAATTCAGGGATTTGAGTGTGAAGAGATAGGGTTAGAAAATAAAAAATTACTGAACGTTATTGGTGCTATGGATGGTTCTCATATTCCAATTCACTCTCCTTCTAAAAATGGATCTCGATATGTAAATCGCAAAAGCTTTCATTCGATAAACCTTCTTGGAGTTGTTGATCACCAAGGGCGATTTACTTTTATACATGCTGGTGAAGCAGGTTTGTATTATTAAATATTATTTAAAAATTAAATTATTTATTATATATTTAAATAAAAATTTATTGTATAAAAAAAAAAAGGAAGTGTACATGATTCTTGTGTATTTAGCCGTACAATTCTTAATTGTGAAATCAAGCTTCATCCAGAACAATGGGTTCCAGGAGGTATCTATATTATTACTGACTCGGCATATCCACTTCAGACCTATTTAATGAAGACATTTCCGAATTATGATTCATTGGGTCATCGAGAGCGACATTTTAATAAAACACTTTCATCAATGCAGATGATTGTTGAAAATGTATTTGGAATTTTAAAAGCATGATAGAGAATTTTATTGCACGAAATTTATTGTACTGAACTAGAATGAATAGTTAGAATAATTCATGCATGTTGTATCTTACACAACTTTGTATTGATAATGGCGATTTATTGCCTTTTGAAGATATTGAAATAAATAGTGAATTAGAATATGAAAATCAGAATGATATAGAAAATGATGCAATTACAGATAAAGAAGAGAGAATAACGGGTATTTATAAAAGAGAATATCTAGCAGATTATCTTATGAATGTTTAAAATTTTAAAAGGAATTGTTAAAAATTTCTATTTGTTCATCATGCTGTCTTTCTTGAATTTCCATAGTACGAGAATGCTGACAATCTATTGCTTCGATAATAGCTGTGGTTTGTTCTTTAATAAACATTTGAAATTCTTCAATAAGATTTTCTTTTTTGCCAATATGCTTATTTTTTCATTTTCGTGATGTAATTTGCAATATATAAAATTAATATAAATATCTAATTTGAATTACAAAGTACAGTATATAAACAATATTACATGTTCGTCCTTATTTAGCTCTTCATTTTCTTGTGCTTTATATTTGACACCTCAGATAGAATCACTTGTAATAGATGCCTCGACACTTGGATCAGATCTTAAATATTCGTTGATATTATAAAAAAATTCCTAATCATTTTGTAAAGGTTCTTCTCCAGTACTTGCTACAGTGTCTTTTATGTCCTGATATTTCTGAAACAAGGCATCCCACTTCTGCAGAATTAATGTTTTAGATCGTTTTTTTAAAATGGGACCAGCAACACTGGATGATTGTATATTTGAGACAATTGTATCCCAAATTCTTCCTTTTTCACATGGATTTTTACTTTTTGTAACATTTGTTGATGCTTTCCAACCTCTTCAATAAGTACTCGAATCTCAGGTGATGTCCACCGATTTGATAATTTATTAGTACTAATCGGTGTATCAGAAGTAGTAACAGGAGGGGTTGAAATAGGTTGTTCAACCGAAATAGCAGAGTTACTATAAATTGCCTATTTAAAAAAATTTAGATACGTACATACAATACATATATAGTATATATAACGATAATATCAAAAAAAAGAAAAAAATTACTTCTTGTTGCCATAAGGAAACTTTCGCTAATGACTCTATGAATTGATTCTGTTGCTGTTGCAACAAAAAATTTAAATTGGTAAGGTCATTTAAAGGAGAAGCTGAAACCGAAGCCGAAGCAACTGAAGTTGAAGCTTCACAGCTGGTTGAACTGGTTGAGAGGAAATTTTTTATTGGATTTTTTAGGTGGCATAATGAAAATTACGAAAAACAGAAAAAGCATGCTCAAGCATTTAATTCTATAAATATTGATATCAATTGTGATGCATGAGCATCATCACGATCATTACGTGATCAATTGATTTAGATGCATGAGAACACCTTATATCATTTAATGCATCAACTGCAAAATCATACGATAAATCACGATAATGCATCAACATCAATTCGTATCGGGCAGTTAATAACGTCAATGTTTTAGGCTCAAATGCAGGAAATTAAACAAACAAATGCCAGAGTATTTGATTAAATTTTATTGGTCAATTTTAATCACATAATAATGACCTTTCTGTGTTGCAATTGGCTTTTTTAATTTTGAGAATAACTAACCGAGAAGATGATGATATCGTGATTTCACATTGCTATGAATATGGAAATTAGCTCCGATACGATAGTTTAGTCTCGAATTGATCACGAAGTATATTAGTTTTGTGATGCATTGTCATGATTTATTGATTTATTGATTTGATTGATTTTTGAATGATTTCAAATGATTTCAAATATGAGTCTTTAGTGACGTAATGCCGTAGTATTCTCAATTAGTAATCATTAGGGAAGGGCCAGAAAACACGTGTTTTTTAAAGGGAGGGTGTCCTTTTAAAAATAACAGATCTATATATAAAAAAAAATTAGAGGGGGAGGAGGGGTAGCCTTATATAAAATAGAAAACACGTGTTTTCTGACCCTCCCCTTAGTAGTATTTAAAGGAACGAGTTTTTCCAAGTAGAGTAGCTTTCTGCCTTTTTTGCCGATCGAACGAAACTATGAGATAATTGGGTGATAAGTATGAGCATTGTAAATTGGTATTGTTATTACGAGCAATTGATTAAGTATGTGTAATTGAGTAAGTATGAAGTAATTTTTTCGTAGTATATTAGTAAGTAAGTAATATTGATCAGAATTATTTTTGTTTATTCTGCGAACCAGACTTTCATTCTGGTTTATCGACCCACACATCCTATCTCGGGGTTAGTTTTGTAGTGTCAAACCGGCCGGGACGGAAGTTTGAGTCTTTATATCTCAATATTGAAATTGGAACGACATCGCACAGTTTTGTCGGGGCGAAAGCAAATGTGATGCAAACTCATGGCTAAATAAGTAATGAAATTGTGACCTGCTGGGACGACAGTCGTACAGTTAAGTATAGCTCGTCGGGATAACAGCCAATGTCTTACAAACTCGTGATTAATTGAGAAATATATAAAAAAAAAGGAAGTTTCTCGATAACAGAAAGGGCATGCCCGTTTATGTTCTTAGCAATATTCCGAAATGAGAGATAGTATTAAAAATTTTGGTCTTCAACACATCAAACACTTTTGTTTGTGACACAATTCTTTTATACAGTATTTATGTTTGAGAGTGGAGTCTAAAATTTATGCATCGGATTGAAATGCACATCATGAATATAATAACGAAGACAAAACAGTAAATTCTATAGTGTTTGAACTCTTTACAATAACATATGCTATATCAATTAAACAATTATAGAGATTCACACCGAAAGTCTATCATCAAAAGAGAAATCGATTTGTACTATACTGCAGTTCTATTTTCATCGTTGAGTTAAAGATTAATATAAAGATATTTTTTAAGTACCATGTTGAATAGTTAATATTGCACATGTGAATTGGATATATTATTAAAAAAAACTAATATACGTATTAGTGACGGGCATATCAGCAAAGAAAAAAAATTCTTATGAAATTTTAATATATAATACAACATCCTCAATATACTAAATTCTAACTATAAAGAGCTGTTATAATGATTTTATAATATGAATTTTCTCATCCTAACACTAACTATAAAAAGCCTATAATGATCTTATAATACGAACTTTCTCATCCTAACACTATTCCAATCCGTAAAGCGTTCATCCGGATAATTATCAAATATCCGATCTTGGATTTAAAAAAATTAGATATTCTATTTCTTTAACATAACAACACATAATTTACAAGGGGTAATTATAAAAGCATTAAATATAAATATGACAAAAATATAATTTTTAATAATATTAATTAAATGTTTTGATAATATGAATATTATATAAATTTATCTATCAAATTTATACTTTTATTTTTGACACCACTTTTTCATCTATCAAATTTACGCTTTATATTTATGTCACCTTTTCTTTTCTTCACATATATGAAAAGTATGCATAAAAAGTATATAAAACAGGATGTTATCAGTGCTATGAATGAAATAAAAATCATCGACTTCTATAGATGAAGCATAAAATGCCTATTTAATATATAAATATAATATATTTAAAATTCATGTCATTATGTGATTAATTTATAAATTCCGATTTAAATTATATCTATTTTTAATTAATTCTGGATAAATTCTGATCTCGCAAACTTTTCAACAAGTTATATTCGAGACTGACACTAGAAAAATTATATGAATACTGTAAATTGATTTAATACATTAATTTACTAAGCTTAATAAAAGTGATAATAATATTCGCACAATGATATAATTAATAATGCTTCTTATATTCAAATAAGATATATTAGCATACCATAATGATGATGATAAGTGGAATCATAATAAAAAATCTCTACGATGCACTAATTTTGGCAATAATTTTAAAGTTTCGAGCAAACTTTTAACTCTATTATGTAGAACAACAATGTAACAAGAGGTAACGTACCTGATCCAAAGTGAATCCCACACATGGCGTGATAAATTAAAACTAATATAAATAATTTCAGGTTTAATTGATCACACCATGTGTAGGATTCACTTTGGATTGGGTATGTTCTCTCCTGTTCAACAATGTACTTTTCTAGTGGGTTTCCCAAAATTACTAAGGATTCATTGTCAACTATTATGAAAAGAATCAACACGCTCTTCATCGCACGATCTGCATCATTCTTTTTAATAAATCATTGCAAATATCCAATAATTTATTAGATTCATCTTTCTTCTAGTTCGTCGAAATTGGCATTCCCTGGATTATTAGAACTATTAATTAGTGATATTAATGTATTTGGTGATGTTGGTGTTTTATCAGTATTCTTATCTAATTTATTAGAATTTTCGTTTTTTAAAATTTCATTCTATATTTATCACTGAATTTTTTACTTCATTATAAAATTTATCTTACTCTTGATCAAAAATTTGGGGGATTAACTTCTTAAGATTTTCTACCTATTGTATTTCATCAAGAAACTTTTTTTATCAAATTAGAAAATTCTTGAATTTTATTAAATAATTTTAAAAAAATTGGTTCAATCTTTTCATTATCTTTTCAGAAATTTCTTTATAATTATTTTTAAAATTTCGTCTTATTTTAAATTCAATTTTCATGTTATCTACATCGTCAAGGAATTCTTCTCTTATACGATCTAAGCTATTTTTGTAAAACTTTTCTATTTTATTTTCCAGAATTTTGTAGCATTCAAAAATTTTTTAAATAATGTGTCACAAATATCATGTACCTCATTATCAGTCTCGTATTTTATTAAAAATCTTTTCTAAATTTTCTGAAGGTTCTTTTAAACTTTCTCGCATCTTAATTTAGAATCTTCTGCTATCTTGTTAAGTTTTTCAAATGCTTCATTAATTTTTACTCTTAAAAATTTTTGTAACTTCAGTATTAAAGCCTCCAGAAATCTGCTTTTTCATCTCCTTCATTCTTCTTTTAAAGGCTATGCCATACAGGTTAGAATGATGGTAGCTATAATTAAATTTATGCATAATGGAATACCAAAAACCAATACTTTGATGCAGTAAAAAAAAAAAAAAAAAAAAAAAAAAAAAAATTAATATTATATAATCATTAAAAATAATATTAAAGTGTATTAATATTAATTAATAGTACCTTGGTAAAACAAATTCTGGTTATTTTTGGAACTTATAAAACAAAGTAGCTCGTGAAAAATAAATTGACGGTAATGAGTATTAAACTCGAAAACGCATGCATTAATTTAACGTGATCTTTATCAATCTTTAAATATTTTGAAAAGATTTCTATTTTGTCATATTATAATGTATAAAAATACGATTAATGCAAGGACTATAAATGACACAATAATTTCGGTATGGTATTTATTCCAGAGGCCACCTAGAATATAATGTTAGTTATGTGATAATGTTTTTATAACATAATCAAACAACTTACTATTCTTGAAAGCCATAATATTGATCCAAAATCCTCTACAATACCAATTGAAAACGTTGTAATGTCCTTATTACTAATTATGATGTTTAAGTTTGATACTACAACTTGAGCAGAATTTACATCACATAAATATGACGGACTGACATGAATAGAAAAAATAATTTAATCATATTGTTGATCAAATTAAACTGAAATTTTTTATTTGTTCTTAAAAGTTTGCGCCGTACTGGTAATTTACTAGAAATCTCATTTAACAATGTATCAAAATATTTAGAGCGGTTAGGAAGCGATAAGAGTTTTTTTATGATTTCCGGTTTTAAACCAACAATAGAGAATGTAAATGAAATAGTTTTTTTTTTTAAGTTTACGTAAAGAATAATAAGCAAAATGTGCATGCTGATATATGAAATAAAATATACCTGAGGAATCATCAACTAAATTGTCAGTATCTGTTAAAATATTTGAAATAATAGTAAAATTAAATTAAAGCAAATATTATAATAATAATAATAATAATAATGATGATGATGATAAATAGAAAAATAAAATCTTACTTCAAGTGAGATTCCAAAGTCCATTATTAATTCCCAATAGAGGCTCCTTATACGAATAACTTTTAACAAAATTATTATACATTTCTACATAATACAGTAATAACTTTCACTGTATTGATTAAATGTACTACTAATGAATGCTATGTTAATGGTTTTTCCGTCCGACTAATTTTACAATAATTACTCATTGTTGATGAAATTTTCTGTCTAAATTATTATTAGAAATTTTGTAAATAGTGACAGAATCCGGCTGTCAAGTCATCCGACAACATAACAGGATCGTAAAAGTTGATTCTTAAAATCGTCGTTGATGAATTAACAATACTATTTATGGAGTGAATAATTTGGGTTATCTAAAGATTACCATAGCCAAAATCTAAATTTATATATAAATATTATCATTTAAAAAATTATAGATATATTAAGCTGTTTTCAAAATAGTTGAAAGTACAAAAAAATTTTTTTTTGAAATACTCGAATACTTGAATGTTTGATTAGTTTAAACTAATCAAATATTCGAGTATTCAAGTATTTGTGAAAATAAATTTTTTTTCACTCTCAACTATTTTGAAAACAACTGTAAATAAGTCATAAAGATATAATAATAGAAACATACCACGATATGTTAGAACTTTAGTTAATGGAATAGTGAATAATGACCAAGATGTATTTATATTATTTGTATAAGGTGAAGCAAGCAGAAAAGTATTATTATACAAAAGAGCATTTACACCAAAGGTATTTGTAATAAAAGTGCCTTTTGAATCTAATATAACTGGAATACTGTATTCATCATAAGAATAAATATAATGGTAACTCTTATTGTAAATTTGATTATAATTTGCAGCATCTAATATATATCTACCGAATGGCATTGTTTTCACTCTCTAATCATATTTAAGCATACCAACTAGGATAGGAAGTTGGAAATTACAGTTGTTGATAGCATTGATCCTGACAACCAATTAGGGATGGCAAAAACCATGATTTAAATCGATTTTTTATGATTTACAAGCATTTGATTTTTATTACGTAATATATTATATTTAATTTAAATACCGATCTTTGGATGCAAATTTTTTTAAAAACCGTTGGCATTGCGATTTAAAATATCTTCTAAATACATTACGTAATAAAGATTTAATAAAAAATCGGTGATTTATAACATTGTGATTTAAATCACGCGCCTTCCCTACGACCAACACCAATAGATGATATGTCACAATAAATTCCTGTATTTTGTTGACTTAATTCATAGTGTAAAAAGTCGATTTTTAAATGTGCAACGCACTGCTAATAATATGTCACTAGTAGTATGTTTACAGCTACTGCGTAGTAAAGCATAACCACTATCAACAGTTGAAAATGACGTCATGATAAAAGTTTCATTCGGATCGATTAAAACGCTACCACTTGTTCTGTTTGGCGGTTATAATTTTCCAAAATTATCTCTATATAAAAATAAATTGAAATACAGTACATTAATTATAAAATAATAATGATTATAAATAATAAGGAAATTAAATTCAGAATTTGCACTGAATATTGATGCCATCTGATCAATCGCAAATTGCCTTGATTTACAGGATCCACTCTAATAAATTCAAGTTTATTGTTTATATTTTGCTGGATTGTACTCACTGGATTCCAATAACCGTCAGAATCAATATAAGTCGTATCAAAAAGTATTGAACTAGTAATTTAGAATAATTAAGGTAAATATTAAGTCTATATTAATGAATTTTATAAAATATTCACGCAAAATTATTGTCTCATCTTAGATTGTTACCATTCCAATCAATAACATCGTCCATTCCTCATAAGTTATAAGATTTGACGAATTCTTAGTTCGTTTTTTGTAAAGAATATATTTTTTTTAATTAGAGTTTTTAAAATACCGCCTTTTATAACTAAACAATAATTTACAGGATCTAATTTTAAATCGAGATTAATCTTATTAACAGTTCCATTTAATTGGATAGCTCTTATACATAATAGTGTAATATCTGTTCTGAACAATGGCCTTGTGATTTTGTTGGATCATGTCATATAATATAGACGAGTGTTGTTCCATCATCATAAACATACGTATTTATTATTTGAGGCCGCACGTGGGAATAAGGTGCCTGATATGCTCTCAGTATAGTTATTATTAATAAAACAAAGGGATATCAAAAATAATTACTGCGCTACAAAGTTTATAAATTCATCGTAATATCAAAGTTGAACTTTTTATATTAAAAAATGTTTAACGTCATTTCGTGTAACATGATAGTACATAATGTTACACGAATTTGATGTATAAAAATCATTTCTCGAAATGTTAATATTCAATCAAATAAATACTTTTTTTTTTTTGCTTTTTTTATACCGGTTTATTGTAATTTATTTATTTTCGTAAACTATAAAGACCTATATGCGTAATAGGGTCATCCCTTTTTTGCCAATGTCACCACAGATCGAATAAGTATATGCCACGATGTGCGGCAAAAATCAGAAAAAAAATCAGAACCTGATATTTCTATTATATTATCACATGAATAGTGAATATTTTTAACAATAATATCACCATGTATTCTCAGTTTATACAATATATTCGGACACAAAATTTCAGATTATATAATTGCAAAACATCACTGCGACATTTTGTGATTGAACTTAAATTAAGAACCCGAATTACTATTTGATTTTCGTAATTAATAATAATTATTACGTATCAACTATATGACACTTCTATCAAAATGATCTCCAAATCTAATAAAGTTAATATAATTATTGCGTCAAACACATCTCCCACCTTAAAGCCCATCTCCTATTTTTAAAAGTAGATACGTTTATGGTATTTATTTATTTATTTATTAAATATTTTAACTCATATTAGTAAATCCGTCAAATATGTCATAACTTTTAGGGTAGTAGATAATTGTTGTTGTTTGATCGCTTATTTATATGCACTAAAATCTTACAGAACATATGAGAACTGGGTCTTGGATCTGCTAGGAATTTTTAAATTTACTAGTAATACTGTAAAACGCCATATACGGTATCTGGTGTAATGCAATTTCTACATAGGAAAAAATTAAACTTAACACACATTAGTTATGCAGCAAATTAGTGTTTCGGGCGAAATTATATATTTCGCCTAGGCGAAATTTCCGAAATAGGGCGAAATATATTTCGCCCAAAAGCCTGAAATTCGAAACTGGCGAAATTGGCGAAATGTCCGAAACCTGGCGAAATATCCGAAACCTGGTGAAAGTTCCGAAATCTAATATTAGAATTTTTATTATAAAAAATACCCAGAGTGTAGTGAAATAAAGTATGAGTTTAATTTACTTATCCGAAATAACATATATCCTCACAATTTGGTTCTTTAACGTTGAAATAATTTGAGCAAAAGGATTAAAAGTATCAGGTAATTGTTTTATTGATAGCAATACTAGTTGACACTAATTGTAAATGCTAGTTATTATAAAGGATTGTTTTTATACCTCTCTACATATCAAAATTTTTAAATCTTTGAGTGAAGATATCTCGATACCCACTAAGCTAAATTTGATGAACTTTTTTTTTATTTGAATTATACAGATACGTGGAATTTAAATAAAAAAAGGTTTATCAAATTTAACTTGGTGAGTGTCGAGACAACTTCACTCAAAGATTTAAAAAATTCAAAACTTCTACCGTATTGGCGCGTAATAACGCGCATCTGCGCGTTATTTCGAGACCCTGCGCGTTATTTCGGGACGCGCATGCGCGATATTTCGAATCATTCTGACAAATTTGGAGACGGTCAATTCAATATATGATCTACTTATATAAAGGTGCGCGTTATTTCGGGACGCGCATGTGCGTTATTTCGAGTCAAAAATGCAATTTCAAAAAAAGGCGTGTTTCAAAATAACGCGCATGTGCGTTATTACGGTATCAAAAAGAAGAGTTGCGCCAAACTTTTTTTAAACTTTGAATGAAGATATCTCGACACCCATCAAGCCAAATTCGATGAACTTTTTTTTATTTGAATTATACAGATATAGAATTTAAATAAAAAAAAAGTAAGTCAAATTTGACTTGGTGAGTGTCGAGATAAACTTCAAAGATTTAAAAAATTCAAAGCGTCTATCAAAAAGAAGAGCTGCGCCAAACTTTTTTTAAACTTTGAGTGAAGATATCTCGACACCCACCAAGCCAAATTCGATAAATTTATTTTTATATAAATTTTAAAGATACATATAATTTAAATAAAAAAAATTCATTGAATTTGACTTGGTGTGTGTCGAGATATCTTCACTCAAAATTTATAAAAAAGTTTGGTGCAGCTCTTCTTTTTGATAGACGTTTTGAATTTTTAAATTTTTGAGCGAAGATATCTTGTCATCCACCAAGCCAAATTCAATGTACGTTTTTTATTTGAATTCTACAGATTCGTAGAATTTAAATAAAAAAAAGTTCATTGAATTTGGCTTGGTGGGTGCCAAG